TTTTTTTTTTTTGAGACGGAGTTTCACTCATGTTACCCAGGCTGGAGTGCAATGGCGCGATCTCGGCTCACCGCAACCTCCGCCTCCTGGGTTCAGGCAATTCTCTTGCCTCAGCCTCCTGAGTAGCTGGGATTACAGGCATGCGCCACCGTGCCCAGCTAATTTTTTGTATTTTTAGTAGAGACGGGGTTTCACCATGTTGACCAGGATGGTCTCGATCTGTTGACCTCGTGATCCACCCGCCTCGGCCTCCCAAAGTGCTGGGATTACAGGCTTGAGCCACCGCGCCCGGCCTATTTTTATTTTTTACTAGAGACAAGGGCATGCTTTGTTGCCTAGGCTGGTCTTAAACTCCTGGCTCGAAGCGATCCGCTCATCATGGCCTCCCAAAGTGTTGGAATTATAGTCTTGAGTCACTGCGCTTGGCCCACAATATAAATAACAAAGGAACATATCACCATAATTGTAGCTTGCTATATTGTTGGTAAATAATTTTAATAGTTCTAATTACAGTCCTTGGGTAAATCATCTCCCTTATCCAAGATGCTAAGTACAAAGTTCGCTACAAAGAAGATTGGATGAAGAGACAGGTTTGAGAAAGTAAGAAACTTAGAGGGGTTAGTTTATAATAACACATAATGCCTTACATTGAAGTTATTTGTGTCATACATAACACATCTCTTACTCTGTAGTGGTACACCTTGAGGAGAAGAGAGCGTTTTTCAGTTTGAATTTTATTCCATCCAAGTGCAGGCTCTTTCTCACAGTATGCTCTTAAGAATTTGTTGGCTGGGCGCGGTGGCTCACGCCTGTAATCCCAGCACTTTGGGAGGCCGAGGCGGGCGGATCACTAGGTCAAGAGATTGAGATCATCCTGGTCAACATGGTGAAACCCCGTCTCTACTAAAAATACAAAAAATTAGCTGGGCATGGTGGCGCGTGCCTGTAGTCCTGGCTACTCGGGAGGCTGAGGCAGGAGAATTGCCTGAACCCAGGAGGCGGAGGTTGCGGTGAGCCGATATCATGCCATTGCACTCCAGCCTGGGCAACAAGAGCGAAACTCCGTCTCAAAAAAAAAAAAAAGAGAGGAGAAAAAAAAAAAAAAGCATTTGTTGAGCAAATTAATTTAAGAAATAAATGTTTGTTGAATATATATCCACTAAGACAGCTTTCATATGCTGGTGGTCAAGTTATATAGTTACTACTAAGGTATATTGTTAAGGAGTCACAAGGCATGAAACTCACCTTGAATAGAGTTGCATGCATTATGACCAAGAGCCAGGCATGTATGTGCATGCGCATGAACATGGTTCTTGTAGGTATCTGAAAATATGCAGTGTATGTTTTACCAAGTAAGTTGTTAAAACCTTTGGGGCATGCACAAGAATAGTAGCACATTAGAAGCCAGTAATTTTTCCCCACAAAGAGGGAACAATCTAGACTCCTTAGAGAATTATTAATAAAGTCCTACAAATAGCTACTTTGGTTCCTTCTTAATGTTGTAAGCATATGGTTTCTATAAGTGGTATTAATGCATTATAAGAACTTAGAGAAGGCAAATGGGAAGTAAACTATCATTTCAGCCCCTAAACTCCCAATTTTTGCATTTTTGTGTATTTAGCAATCTGATGTTTTTGTTTGTTTAACCTACATGTAATTTTGCTTATTCTATGCAGTAGCTATCACAATGTACTTAAAATTGTATTTTGCTTTTACTACGTAACTGAATTTTCTACTGGTTCTTATATATGTAAAAGAATAAACTATTACATACAGTTATTTAGTAATTGCTATTTGTGTATCTATTGAGCAAAACAGTCTGAAAAATTGTTAATGCTTTGCAGATGTGCTAGTCCTGAAATTTAGGGGTCAGGGTGTTTTAGCTATTAAGAAAGAAAATGAAAATGAACTAGTATCTCAGGAAAACTGAAGTAAAATAAATGAAGCTGAGTTTTGTGATGTTAAGAACAAAACCATCTCCGTGTTTAATAGGACTACAGAGATGTTTTTGAGAAAACATGTTTGTTTATTAACTCTTTTTGTAGAATGATTTTTATTTTCCTGCTTGATTTTTCTTTCCCCTGAATTTGCTGTTTTGTTTTAGAATGCAAGGCCAGAAACTGTCACTACCGACGATGAAGAAGCCTTGGATGAAGAAACAAAGAGGAGAGATCAGATGATTAAAGGGGCCATTGAAGTTTTAATACGTGAATATTCCAGTGAGCTAAACGCCCCCTCACAGGAATCTGATTCTCACCCCAGGAAGAAGAAGAAGGAAAAGAAGGAGGACGTATGTGTTCTGACAACATATCATTTCTACAGTTTGTTTTTTATGATACTACTCTTAAGCTCTGATTACATGTCAGATTTTGAAGGGAAATCAGAATAAATAGGATTTATTAAATAAGTAGCAATATACAGATTGAAAGAAAATGTTTGGTTCTCTTAAACTCATTTTTTTAGGGGGATAAACTTAGAGAAGTTACAAGGACTATTAGTTTTAAAATATTGGAAGTATTTTATATGGCCTCAAAAAGTATTACAGGCCGGATATGGTGGCTCATGCCTGTAATCCCAGCATTCGGGAGGCCGAGGCGGGTGGATCACCTGAGGTCAGAAGCTTGAGACCAGCCTGGCCAATGCAGTGAAACCCCGCCTCTACTAAAAATACAAAAATTGGCCGGGCGCAGTGGCTCAAGCCTGTAATCCCAGCACTTTGGGAGGCCGAGGCGGGTGGATCACGAGGTCAAGAGATCGAGACCATCCTGGTCAACATGGTGAAACCCCGTCTCTACTAAAACTACAAAAAAATTAGCTGGGCATGGTGGTGCGTGCCTGTAGTCCCAGCTACTCAGGAGGCTGAGGCAGGAGAATTGCTTGAACCCAGGAGGCGGAGGTTGCGGTGAGCCGAGATCGCGCCATTGCACTCCAGCCTGGGCAACAAGAGCGAAACTCCGTCTCCCAAAAAAAAAAAAATAAATAAAAATAAAAATAAAAAATTAACCAGGCATAGTGGCCCACACCTGTAATCCTGTCTTCTCAGGAGGCTGAGACAGGAGAGTCGCCTGAACCCAGGAGGTGGAGGTTGCAGTGAGCCAAGATTGCGCCATTGCACTCCAGCAAAGTATACAGGAGAATGTGCATAAGTTATATGCCATTGTTTATAAGGGACTTAAGCATTTGTGGATTTTGGTATATGTGGGGGCTCCTGGAACCAATCCCCTCAGACTCCAGGAAATCATGCACACACACACATACACGATATAGGAGGTTTCTAGATACTGGGATTTCTGTATACTATAAATTATGTTTATATATACTGAAAACCAGAATTCTGTAAAATATGTTCACACGTGCATATGTATACTATAATATATGTATAGTATACATATATAGAACCTCCAACTCCTGGGCTCAGGTGATCCTCCTGCCTCAGCCTCCTAAAGTGCCAGGATTACAGTCGTGAGCCACTGCACCCAGCCCTTAATTTTACTTTGTTTTCCTATGGTTGTTATGTCTCCACTGTAAGCAAGAAACCAGATTTCATTCACTGAAGATTTCCACCCACTCTTGATTTTTTAGCTGCCTTTTCTTTAGAAACTATGTCACATTCCCCTCCCTGAACAGTAATGGTATTGAACATCAAACTGGACGTTTCTGAAAGAGCAGCACAATTTGAAATATTCCTCCTCAGTGAATTGATTACTATCTCTTTGTCACCCTAAGCTAATTGAACAGTGGGCAGTCCAGGTTGAAAGAAAAGGTTTGGTTTTCTTACACTTATTTCCTTTGGATAAACTTAGATAAGTTTTAGGAAATATTATTTGAAAAATATTGGAAGAGGCCGGGCGTGGTGGCTCAAGCCTGTAATCCCAGCACTTTGGGAGGCCGAGGCAGGTGGATCACGAGGTCAAGAGATCGAGACCATCCTGATCAACATGGTGACACCCCGTCTCTACTAAAAATA